ATCTCACGAAATGTGTATCGGTCAAATGATGCTGCAACGACCGAAATAGGTAGTAATCGGAAGGCGCCATGTCTGGGCTATACGCCGCGTGCGGGAGAAGTTCCCAGCCTAACGCAAAGATATGGTCCTGAGTCGCTTTCGCAACATGTGGTCGAGCATTGTCATGAAGCAAGATCACTTTACGACGTCCTTGGCCAGTAAATGGCCTCTTTTCTTCTAATGCATCTAATGCATGTATGTAAACGTACGGAAATGATTTGCTGCATAACGTCAAGCTGTTCTGCAAGCTCCTTTTCAGTTTGCGCAGAGTTATATCCAGCAATGCTTGCAATTCGTCCGTTTCAATCTTTTGAGGGCGTCCAGCACACGGTTCATTTTCTGAAGACTGAAATCTCCTTGGTGAAATTTTTGATACCATCTTTTACATGTAGTATGACTTACAGCATTCTCATATGCAGCACAAATCATTGCAGTGGCTTCAGCAGCATTTTTCTTTAGATGAAACGCGAAGTGGATGGAAAATCGAATATGCTCTTTTGTTATTGCCATCGTGAACACTACTGATTTTTGAAGTTATGTGCATCAAACGCCAAACCGTATGGCATTTTAGAAGGCCAAGTATCAACGCTTTAAAACCGCAAAAGGGCGAGAAGATATATAAAATTTAAATTGTTATTTCGGTTGTATGAAATCTAAAGCTCAGGACTTTTTTGTACACCTAATATAATGATATTAATTCGTTATTCCACTTAGTAAAGTATGTAATGTGAAAATAAATTTTTAAAAATTAATATAAGCATCGGACCGTTAACGATCCGAGTTTGCATGATGAACGATGTTACACTCGTACGTTGTCGTTTTGAATCTTCGAACGTACACATTATGATGATCGAATCGACGCTACGCCGTATATTTAATCTCGCCGAATGTATTAATGTAACGTTCAATCAAGACAGACTTATCGATATGATCGATGAAAAGTATACGCGATTCTCCAACATTGCGTCTATTATAACAAATCCCGAGGAGATATCATATGTGATACGCGATAGCGATATTTTCGATAAGCATTAACTCGTCGATTGCGAACTGTTAGCTTTAGTTTTTAGTATGTATGAAAAAAAGACGATGTAACAAAAATGTGAACAAAAATGTTTTCACGCTTAAAAATATGATTTCAATCAAAACAAACCTATTTCCTATCTTAAAATAAAATAATATTCCGGTTAGGATATTATTTATTGGTATAACATCAATAAAAAAAGAGTAATATCTCTTTTTTTTCTTATTGAATTCATTTCATTTTTTATAGTTTCCCATTTTCCACGTCGCTGCCAAAATTTATTGCTTTCTACGTGAGAATTTGACTTGAGACTTGAGAATTGAACTTGGCCAAATAGAAATGAGCACGTTTCAGTATTTGTTAAAAAAACAAGAAAAAATTAAGAGAGGAGAAGTGTCCATTTATCGATTAATACATTATTTTCATTGAATGGCATTGATTTTTCGAGATTGTTCGAAATTAACATTGCGACACGTACATTTGTTTGCAGCCAGAGTATCGGCTTTTTTTTCTTCTTTTCCTACGTCAATTTCTACAAAAATAGTTTTTCTAGCAGCTCTTCCTAGACAAAAAAAGACCCTCCCCCTCCCCCCTCTCAAAAATACATTCCAAAGGACCATTAACAAAACATTCCCTTCTCCTCGTGCCTATCAGTTACCCCCTTTCCTTTATTCCCGCGTCTCCGAGTTCCGCACACCCACACCCCGCTCGGAGCCCCTGGGTTAGAACCGGCCTAGTATACCTACTGGCCGTATTGCAGAAATCTGATGACAATCAGAAACGGTTCGCAGGTCTTGCATCCGTAATACGCCTTTCGAAATTTCAGATACATGTCATACAGCACGGCAAACTTTTTACGCTCGAAATCTAGATTCATATCGTCGTAGGGATAGAACTCGGAATTCAAATGGAGTTTTACATTAGTCAACTTGCAATCGAATTTAGAAACGTCTTCCAATAGTTTTTTCCTTCCGATCTGTAGCGCGAAGATCACGTATCGCGGTTTTTCCAATTGCGTCGTCCAATTGCGTCCAAATCGCCGCTTTTATCGCCCACGAATGCTTGGTCGTACTTTGTAACAGCTTTGGAAATTCGTATAAATCCCACGAATGAAAGTCTATGCTTAGATATCGTCCGCTGTCCAACTTTCGCAGAAGCGACAATTTGTTGATGTCATTCAGTATCATGTGCGGCATTCGCCACTGTATTCTCAACAGCGTGATCTTTGGTCTCTGATTCAGATGCGCCACGACGCAATTGTTATTGTTGCGAGCGCGTATCAGAATGAGTTCGTGCCGCGCGTTTATCACTATGCGCTTGTAATCCTCGCAGAAACCGAGAAATATGTTGAGAGACGCAAAAGTTGAAATCGTCCAACGCTATAGGCGGTATCTCCCATCTGATGTTCTGTAAAGCTCTATCTTTCTCGTAGCTGATACGTAATTTTTCATCAAGATCGTTATTCTGACGTTTCTGCTCTTATCGATCTCCACGTCATTTGATCCACTCGTATCGAATCTCGTCGAACATAACGCGACGCAATTGTTGACTAGCTTCGTTCTCGTACCTTCCTTCGCCATACCTTCTTTCGCGCTCTCTCTCGTCGCGAACTTTTTCTCGATGTACATCCCGCACGTGGCGTACAGCCCAGACATGGCGCCTTCCGATTACTACCTATTCGCTGCAGCATCATTTGGCTGATACACATTTCGTGAGATTTGAAGAGATACGAAAATGCATTGATGACTTTATCGCTTCGAAGCCGGTGAGCTTCTATTCAAGGAATTCGTAAGCTACCCGAAAGATGGCAAAAGATCGTTGATGCAAACGGGGAATATTTCGCTGATTAATATTTTTTTGTTTGTTTTTGAATAAAGATTGAATTTTACAAAAAAAAGCTCAAAACTTTTTTGTACATCTAATATATATAT